GTGCAATGGGCGTTTTTCACATTTATTGTCACGCTCATGCTTATAAATGAGTGCACGACAATGAAAGAAATAATCTTCTTTTTTTAAAGAAGTAATAGCGTGTTCAAAAAAAAACAACAACAACAACAAAAAAAAAACAGAGCCAACATGACATTTAAAAAATGACCGGGATTAAGAAAGCTGCCAACGGTGTGTTTTTATCTCTCGCCACAGCGAAGTAACGTTCATGTTTTGCAATAGGTTGGTTGTATGCCCGTTTGGGATGCATCATGCTGACTGCAAGATTGCATGACATCAGCATGAGATGTAGCTGCTCATCTCTAAAATAACATTACAGACACGTTCTACAAGTGGATAATATGCAAAATGAATTAATCTACTACAATGTAGGAAAAATACATTTTAAAGTTACATTTAATCTTTTACAACAATTGTATGTAAAAATATCTCAGTTATTTATTTATTTATTGTCTTATTTATTGTTATTTATTTTTCAAAATATGTTCTTCGCTGCCTTGGACAGAAGTTTGGACCATGCCCCTAAAGCAGGGGGGTCTGCGAGTGAACTGGAGCGAGTAACATTATTTGATCGTCTCCAGGACCCAAACTGATGCACCCGGAATGGCCTCCCAGGCCCGCATTTATGTGGCCAGGGGCTGGAGCACCACAAGCTGTGAGTTGCCAAACTGAGGCAGGGTCTCTACGCTTGTGTTGTTGCAAGTGTGCAACATATGGATTAAATATGGGTTAACTCGTTAGGGCCTCTGTACATATGGAAGATTTAGAAGTAGCTGTAAACCATTTGTAGAGATGGCAGAGAACGTCTGCCAGGGAAACATGGGCTTAAAGCTATACAATGGAAGAATACACATATCGGATCCCCTCGGTTCACTACATATGGCACCCAGCCTCCTACCGGTTATCATGGATTCATCGATTGAACACCTGGTGGAGGGTGATGGAGGAGCTCGACAAGGTCTGAAACTGAACTGTCTGGAGCAGAAATATCACAATTTGTGACAAAGCAAGCCGACACTAGCCGGGGCCTCTTGGTGCTTCTACCCGTTTGAGGTGAGAACACAGGAGGATACCAGCTCAACATGAAGGCTATAAAATCTAGCGAATGTGTTGGGGGTCACCCAGCCCGCAGCTCTACAGATGTCTGTTAGCGAGGCGCCACGAGCCAGCACCCAGGAGGATGCAACACTTCTAGTAGAGTGATCTCGCAACTTGAGCAGGCAGGGCACTCCCTGTGCCTGATAAGACTATCCAGTGGGCCATCCTCTGCTTGGAGATGGCATTCCCCTCTGCCGGCCTCCGTAACAGACAAAGAGCTGATCTGAGGTCCTGAGCTTTGTGTCCAGTCCACGTACCATCTCAAGGCTCGGATGGGACAGAGAAAAGCTAGGGCTGAGTCTGCCTCCTCCGGGGGCAGCGCTTGCTGTTTCACTACCTGATCACTGAAGGGGGTAGTAGGAACCTTGGGCACATAGCCGGGCCGGGGCATCAGGGTTACCTGGGAGTCAGCCGGCCCAAACTCTAGGCATGATTCGTCGACCGAAAATGCGTGCAGGTCCCCTACTCTCTTGATGGAGGCCAATGCAACCAGGAGCAGAGTTTTCAATGAAAGAAACTTTAGCTCGAAAGGGCTCTGCTGTAGTGCTCTGAGCACCAGACTCAGGTCCCAAGAGGGTATAGAGGGAGGTCGAGGAGGATTGAACCTTATCACTCCCCTAAGGAACCTGATGACCAGGTCATGCTTCCCTACCATCTTACCGTCAATGGGGTCGTGATTCACAGATACTGCAACAATGCAGACTTTAAGGGTGGAGGGAGACAGCCTTCGCTCCAACACTTGCTGCAGAAAGGAAAGCACGGCTCTGATTAGGCATCTCCAGGGGTCCTCTCAGTGAGAGTAACAACATCCGATAAACAAGTTCCCCTTCAAGGTTTAAGCGTGTCTCGTAGATGGCGCTTGCACCGAAGTCATGGTGACTACCTCTGTCTCTACCGCTACCTCATTGGGGTAGGTTACCTAGAACCTCCGTGTCCTGTCCAGGCACCAAATATGGCGTTTCCAGAGGTCCGGACGTGGGTGCCACAGGGTGCCCCATCTCTGAGAAAGTAGATCATTCCTCAGAGGAATCTGCCACGGCTGTCACGAGAAGCATCAGTTCTGTGAAAGGGTAACTATGGCGCAACGAACAAGACCTGCTCCTCGTCGTCCCTGATCTTGCACAGTGTCTGTGCAAGAAGGCTCACTGGGGGAAACGCATACTTGCGCTGGGCCCACGGCCAGCTGTGTGCCAGCGTGTCAGTGCCTAGTGTTCCCTCGGTCAGGGAGGAAAACAGCTGGCAGTGAGAGGTTTCTGGAGAGGCAAACAGGTCTACCTGAGCCTCTCTGAAACATCTCCAAATGAGCTGGACCATCTGGGGATAGAGTCTCTATTCTCCCGGGAGCGCAGCTTGTGACAGCTCATCGGCTGCACGTTTGAGCAGACCAGGAATGTGAACAGCACAAAGTGACCTCAGATGCTTCTGACTCCAAAGGAGGAGATGGCGGGCGAGTTGCGACATGTGACGGGAGGCAAGGCGTACTGCTAGCAACTCGAGGCAGTTGATGTGTCAATGTAGTTGGGGGCTCGTTTGAACCACTAACACTGCATGCCCGTTTTACGTGGCCCCCCAGCCGGTGGTGGAGGCATCTGTGTGTACCACATCATGCCTGGAGACCTGCTCTAGGGGCACTCATGCCCGAAGAAAAGTAAGGTCTGACCACAGGCTAAAGGTTTGGTGGCAGTTCGGTGTGATCTGCTCCCGGTGAGTGCCGCGTCTCCACTTGAGCCCTACTCTTTCGGCGGGCCGGGAAAGCATAGACATCATTTCTGGATCCAATTCAGGCATTGCTACCACCCCAGAGAGCAGCAGCGCAGCCGAATCTTCCTCTCCAGAAAGCTCAAGCTCACCGTCCGATGCAGCGATTGACATCCAGTCGTCGTGAGAAGCCCCAAAGGATACGGCTGGTACACTCTTTTTAGAGGTCCAGCATGTTCCTTGGGCAGCTCGACTAGTTGCGGAGTGCTAGAGGTTTGAGGGACCCTGGGAGGTTGGTTCCTCGGAGGGGTAGCCATCACTGTGATCCTCAGACCGATGGTTGAGTCCGATTTGATGAACTGGTTCATCCAGTATACTAAAAAGAACCAGTTCAAAATAACAATTTGTTTGTGAACATCATTTTATTTGCCTGAGGCTCTGGATTACAGATAATAATGGTGAAAATAATGTTCAGTTTCTTGCACAGGCTGATCGTTTCGATTCATAAGACCTCAATATATCATTAGAAGCCACAAGTTTTAATTTTGTATTGCTTTTTTGACTCTCAAATCATCAAGGACCATGGTTTCAGCTAAAAACTTATATACTATTGCACTGAAGAAAAAACCTGCACCTACACACCCAGTGTATCTTGGATGCAAGCTTTAATTTTTGGGTGAACTGCTGGATTTAGTGTTTTGCTTTAGAACTGGGAATTGTTTTGATATCAAGAAGCTGTACTGTAGATATCACAACTTTGAACGGTGATATCAACAGTCCACTGGTCGTTGGTTAAGTGTTTAGTTTGATATCAGTTTTATAAAAACAAATAGCTTTTGTTGACAGACTGCATGTAATATTAAGAGAAATGTTTTGTTCTGAGCTTAAGACATCTTTTCATATGTCCACAAATATGGCTTTCTTAATAATACATATGCTTTAAATAAGAATGCAAATATTTAGAAAACATTTTTTATTTTTATGCCACATTATAGTGATAGATGTGTGATGAAAGTCTCTTATGCAACGCTTTGCAACATGCTGCTTTATAAACATTTCACAATTTGAGGGCTGATGTTGTCTCTTTCTACACTGTCTCTTTCTTTGTTCTCTTATAACTGTACTGTGATGGGATGTACAGTAGTGTATGTCTGAGTAGATCCATCAGCCTCAGCAGCCCAAAGCTGTGTTACTGGGAGTCTGACAACAGAATTATTTTGCAGGTCATTTTCAATAGAAGCTCTTTTTGGACAGAGGATAAAGCCCTCAAAGTCACAGTGTGTTTCCACTGTACAATGAACTCTTACTTGAAGTTGAAATATCAAGGAAAATGTGATTCCTCATGATGGTTTACCAAAGTGTTTTTTTGCTTTATTCTGTTATCGCTCAATCTTTTGTACGTTATGCGGAACTGGACTCTTCATGAACACACTTGAGTGTTTGTGTGGATGACTGTGCATGAGGTGGGGTTCCTGAGGTTAGATGGGTGGGAGGCATAAGAGCTATATGAGATGCCCACTACGATTTAGAGATCTCTAGAGAGAGACAAAGCAAGCTGTATCTGGTCCAGAGCCTGAGTATATAGTTTAGTCTTGCGCTGTGAGAGTGAGAGTATGTCTGCTGCTGTGACTCTAGCGCTGCTGTTCTTCTTGTCTGTGGCACTGAACGAACAGGTGACCGAGGGCTGCACATGTTTACCAAAACACCCTCAACAGCAGTTCTGCGCGTCTGATATAGGTACGTCAAACACATGCATAGCTAATCAAACACGAACAGGTGCCGTATTCAAATCTGTAGATTGCACGCTGCTTTAAGATGTTACGAGATGTTACATTTCTTGCATTTCAGTTCATTTACATTAGTTCAGTGACTTGAATTATTGAACTACACATTAGGTTTATGGAAAGTACAATGATGGAACCTTAAATTTTTCTAAATGATAGTATAAGACAATATGTAACATTATTTATTTAAATCTGTTTTATTTTTTTCAGTAACAAGAGCTCTTTTCTTGTGTAGTGTCAAATTATTTAAAGGGGCAGTTCACACAAAAATGAAAATTCTGTCATCATTTGTTCACCAAGTCATTTCATACCTGTATGACTTTTTCCATGTGTAACACAGGAAGATATTTTGAGAAATGTCTCAGTGTTTTTCAATGGGCTCCAGTGTTGTTTGGTTCCCAACATTCTTTCAAGTATCTTATTTTGTGTTCAATCTTGGAAAACTTGAAATGCGAAATATAAAAAATGTTTTTGCTTCAGACAAATGTAATGTAATCCAGGAACATTTAAAAAAATAAAATTAACTAATTTTTGTCACATCTGACTTTTTTACCAATTAGTGATTCGAGCTAAGGTCATTGGAAAGGTGAACAGCACTCTCCCTCAATTAACGGCATACAAAATCCAAACTATTCAGGTGAGAAAATGTAGGCAACTTGACGCATCATTTTCCAATACAATCTTTTTTAACAAGAAATATGTGTGTGTGTGTGTGTGTATATAATTTTTCTTTTTTTTTTAATCCAGACATTTAAGCAATTAGACAAGAAGAGAATTCAGGTCATCTACACTTCTCAAACTTCATGTGGCATCAATCTGGAAAACGGCGAGTATCTGCTGTCAGGTAAAATAATTTACTATCTCAAGGCTGAGTTTGAGTTGAAACTGAACACCCTGATTCCTGATGCTGGTTGTTAACATCAGTTGAGGCTGAAATATGCTACACAAATTAAATTGACATATTTTACAGAAAATCACATTGTGTATTCAGTATTCAACTTAATTTTTTTTAGATTTCATCCAGTCTGAGAATATCACAGTTTGATAATATTTGAGATGATTTTAGAGCACATATCATTTTCACTTATCATGCATCTCTTAGCAACAAGACAGGTTTCTGCATGAGTTTGTGGTGTTTGGAATGAGTTCAGAGTCTGTTTGTTTGTGTATGACATCCAGTTTTTCCTCTGTAACATTTACAAAGTCAGCATAGCATATTTGTTCGGATTTGATCTGTATTCCAGTCAGATCAATTAAGCCTCACGTTCATTTTAAATAGCTCAAAAACATACTTAAGAACTTGACACACTTCATTATTAAACCGTAATTGACAAGACTACCCTAAATCCTCAAAGAAAAGCCTAATATTATCCAGGACCTCAAACCTAAAAACAATAATGAATCTCAACAGAACACGTTTTTTTTTAAATTTATTTTATTTTATTTATTTTTCTTTTTTTATTATTTTTTTTATTTGTTTTTAATCCAGACATTTAAGCAATTAAACAAGAAGATAAAGAGAATTCAGGTCATCTACACTTCTCAAACTTCATGTGGCATCAATCTGGAAAACGGCGAGTATCTGCTGTCAGGTAAAATCATTTACTATCTCTAGGCTGAGTTTGAGTTGAAACTGAACACCCTGATTCCTGATGCTGGTTGTTAACATCAGTTGAGGCTGAAATATGCTACACAAATTAAATTGACATATTTTACAGAAAATCACATTGTGTATTCAGTATTCAACTTCAATTTTTTAGATTTCATCCAGTCTGAGAATATCACAGTTTGATAATATTTGAGATGATTTTAGAGCACATATCATTTTCACTTATCATGCATCTCTTAGCAACAAGACAGGTTTCTGCATGAGTTTGTGGTGTTTGGAATGAGTTCAGAGTCTGTTTGTTTGTGTATGACATCCAGTTTTTCCTCTGTAACATTTACAAAGTCAGCATAGCATATTTGTTCGGATTTGATCTGTATTCCAGTCAGATCAATTAAGCCTCACGTTCATTTTAAATAGCTCAAAAACATACTTAAGAACTTGACACACTTCATTATTAAACAGTAATTGACCAAAGACTAACCCTAAATCCTCAAAGAAAAGCCTAATATTATCCAGGACCTCAAACCTAAAAACAATAATGAATCTCAACAGAACACGAGGGTTCAATAAGTCAGGACATCTCTAGGTACGAAAAACGTTGTGTATATACAGTAAAATGATGAAAAAATGAACTTTAACTGTGTAATTAAAAGGTTAGTTCACCCAAAAATGAAAATTAGCCTGTGTTTTACTCACCTTCGAGGCATCCTAGCTGTATATGACTTTCTTCTTTCAGACGAATCCAATCAGAGTTATTTTTAAAATTGTCCTGGCACTTCTAAACTCCATCATCCTGGAATGGCTTCCGCGTACGACAGATCCCGGAAGCGATAGAAAAGTGTTTATTACGTTTGAAATATGGATATTTTTCTTACAATGGCTTTCATTTTCACCCAACTAAGTTTTCTGCCATTCTGAATGTTGTCAAACACGTACTCAAACCTTGGCTCAAATCATTTTCAGAATCTTTTATAAAGATATTTAATGCAAAAATAACAATGTTTACTGCATATATGCATATTCTTATGATTAAACTTGCTTTGTAGAGAAGGACCAAACTGTGCAGACCTTAAAAAACAAATAAGCTTCAAGCATCCAGAAGCCTAGAAAAAAAACTTGGCTTTGTAATTTCTACTTGTAGCCCTTTGTATTAGCCTCTGACTGTTATTATTCATTCGTTGTATTTTTTCAAGTATTAAAACAGTTGTTGTTGTGTTATAAGTATAGATATGAATTCAGTCATCTCTCAAACTGTGATCTCTACAGATCTCGCCCTGTACTGGAGCGTCCTGTTTGATTGAGATGCTTCAGAAAAAATGTCTGATGAGAGTCAATAATTCATTCATTCTTGATGATGAAGAGGCTCTTCAGTCTATTTGCCTGCCAGGCAGTGGTGGCTTCTGCAGATGGCGAAAATTTCTTAAGTAACTACAAAAGCTCCTAAAAATGATGCCCTGAAGAACAAGTGCATCAGCCATTCGTCGGTGTGCATTTTTGCCCTTTTGTTCTCCAGAATGCTTAGAACATTTTGAAATGAATTTAAACAATTTAATGAAGCTTTGCAATGCAGTCAGCAAATACATACAAAACACTGTTTTCATGGAGATATGCAATCAACCATTAAACTATTTTGCATGTAAAAGCATCTGTGTTTTTTTTTTTGTTGCTTTTATTTGGTTCATCTTAGGTCAAACAGAAAGTAACAATAAGGTACATATAGTAATATACTAGTAATAATAGATATACACATATCTACATATAACATTCAACCATACATTAATTCAGATGAAGAAAAAGAACAGAAAAAAACAGGCAATCATTGTTATACATTCAAAGAAACAGAGGAAAGAAAATGAATAAATAAACAAATAAAATAAAATTAGGATACAGTTGTCTCAAAATATTTCAGAAAAGGGCTCCAGACTCTCAAAAAAAGTTTAGGCTTTTGTTTTATCGCAAACCGAATCTTTTCCATCCTGAAAATAAAAAACCCATTGGCGATAAGGAGGGGGAGCTGCTGACTTCCAATTCATAAGATTAAGTCGCCTAGACAGTAGAGTTGCAAAGGCTACAGTATCAGCCTGTAATATGTTTAATAAAATGCCAAACAATGCTGTAAAGGGGTTGGGGTCTAAAGACTTTCCTCCAAAAATCAGACAGTTTTGGACAAGACCAGAAAGAATGCAATAACGTAGCAGGTTCAGTTGTGCAGCTAGGCAGGTTGGCTCAAAATCAGGAAATATTTTGTTTAATTTAGTTCTAGACCAATGGACTCTGTGCACCACCTTAAATTGAATGAGTGTGTGTCTAGCATTTATAGAAGATGAGTGTATACGGGCAAAAATTATATCCCAGATATTTTCCTCAAACGTCATATTCAATTCCTCCTCCCAGAGTGCCTTCAATGGACACATTGAGGGGGACTGTTTTGTGTTAATTATAGTATAGATTTTAGAAATAACCCCTTTCAAAGATGTATACAGGCCTAATATATCATCCAAGTATATTTTTAGTGGGCAAAAGGGGAAAGTTAGAAAACTGTTTACGAATAAAATTCCGTATCTAAATAAATGAGAGCTGGGTAAGTCAAATTTTTCTCTAAGTTGTGTAAAGGATACAAAATTGTTGTCAATGTATAGCTCACCAACTGTAGCTAAGCCATGTTCCCTCCCAGTGTTAAAAGCCCTATCCATCAAAGAGGGTGGAAATGAAATATTGCATAAAACTGGCACCATAGTACAAGGGTCTTTAAGGTCTAACGCTAAACGGAGTTGAGACCAAATCCTTAATGAATGCTTAACTGTTTTTTAAAAATTTTTATTAAAGGGGTCATATGATGCTTTTTTAAAGATCATTATTTTGTGTATTTGGTGTAACAGAATATGTTGACATGCTTTAATGTTCAAAAAACACATTATTTTTCAAATACTGTACAGTCCAAAGAGAAAGGAAAACTTGAAATCGCATCATATGACGTGACATCTAAGACGACCTTGATTACCGTAGTTCATTTTGACTTATTCCATATGAAAGAAGAAATATTTCACTGTAAAAAAAGATTTTGGAATAAATATAGGAAGGCACTGGAAAAAATATAAAAATTTAGGAAGAACATTCATTTTGATAACATTCACCCTTCCTATCAAAGATCAACCCAATCTCATGAAAGTGTATAAATAGTACGCCAAATAAAAACTTTGGACTTTGGCGTGTATATGCTACGTGATGGGTAGGTTTAGGGTTGTGGGGTAGATGCGTATCATATGCACGCCAACAAATTTCGTATCATATGCACGCACAAACTGCGTATTATATGCACGCCAAAGTCCATTTTTGCGTATCAATACCACGAGTTTTCGCTTTTATTTGGCGTACTATTTATACGCATTTTCGTGAGACCAGGAGACATTTCCAGGACACGAAGAGAGACTTGACATGGTTATGGAGAGGACTAATGTTAGCACCAGAGCCGGCGCCAGCACAGCACTGATGAGGTGGCGGCTGAGGTGACGAAAGGGGGCGATGATATAGCACAAAGTAAAAGTAAAAAAAAAAAACTTATGTGGCCCATTCACCTATTTGTCGGACCGTAAACAAACCTGCCCACTACTACTACAACTATTAGAATACAGGGTTCACACAGATAGAGTTTTGGTCGCAAGACAGGTCAGTGGAAGATTTTTTTCAAGGTCTAGAGACGTGTTTTAGAAGCTGAATTTCTTTGAACTTGAGCGCCGTGTTTTAGAATGATGTATTATGCTAGGGTGACCATATTTCGGTTTTCAAAAAAGAGGACAGTGGGGGAAGGACGCAGAAGGGGGCTGGGGGCATTGGGTGTTGGGTTTGAAGGGGGTTAAAGTAGCCCCCAAAGTAGGGCACGGCCATATCCCATATCAAAACTCAAAACATGTCATTTCCATACGTAAAATACATATTTTACAGTCACCATTTTGCAGATTGATCAAACAGCTAAAAGGCTTCCATCCTTCACAAAACTTGTCATCTAGCCTACCACAGTTTTATCATAGTAGAATGCAAAATGTTTCAATAAGCATTTCAGTCAAATGTAATTTATGCAATATTTCAAACCTATGCAAGAAAATCTAAAGAAAAACCCGCCACAACAGTTTAAAGGGGTCATATGATGTTGCTAAAAAGAACATTATTTTGTGTATTTGGTGTAATGAAATGAGTTTATGCGGTCTAAGGTTCAAAAAACACATTATTTTCCACATACTGTACATTATTGTTTCTCCTCTATTCCCCGCCTTTCTGAAATGCGTCGATTTTTACAAAGCTCATCGGTCTGAAAAGCGAGGTGTGC